AATTTATAGAGACGGAAAGTAGATCAGAGGTTATCAGGGGCTTGTAGGAGAGAAAATGAGGAGTTACTGTTTCGTGGATACAGTGTTTCAATTTGGGAAGGTGAAAAAGTGCTGGGAAGGAGAGTGGCGATGGTTGCACAACCGTGAGAATTTCTTATATTTAATGCCACTGAACTGTACACTTAAAAATGGTTATTGTTGGCCGGGCGCGGTGGCTCACGCCTGTAATCCCAGCACTTTGGGAGGCCGAGGCGGGTGGATCACGAGGTCAAGAGATCGAGACCATCCTGGCCAACATGGTGAAACCCCGTCTCTACTAAAAATACAAAAAATTAGCTGGGCATGGTGGCGTGTGCCTGTAATCCCAGCTACTCGGGAGGCTGAGGCAGGAGAATTGCCTGAACCCAGGAGGCGGAGGTTGTGGTGAGCAGAGATCGCGCCATTGCCCTCCAGCCTGGGTAAGAAGAGCGAAACTCCGTCTCAAAAAAAAAAAAAAAAAAAAAAAAGGTTATTGTTTAATGTATGTTTTGCCACAACAACAAACTAGAAAAAGGCCTAAAAAATAGAGTTGACAACTTCTTTTCATGATTATTTTTGTAAGTGGTGATGTTGTTATACTGCAAAGAAAACAAACAAGCAGAAACTGATCAGGTCCCACCCTATGCCGTAAAGTAATCAAACCAAATTGTAAGTAAATTGACGCACAGTCGTAAAACAGAATCTTTGCCAGCTGGAAAGTAAAAGCTTCTAGATGACACGGGTTTAAAATGAAATAAAGACTTAGAAACCATTGAGAAATTGTTGAAAATAGATGTGAACAATACTTAATAAAACACAGGAAGGATATACTCAAAGACTTAGTAGCATTAAGGAATTTCAGTTAAGAAATATTTTTTAAATTACTTGATAAAAATTAAATATTTATTTATTTATTGAGACTGGGTATCACTGTGTCACCCAGGCTGTAGTGCAGTGGCATGATCACAGCTCACTGCAACCTCGATTTCCTGTGCTCCAGCAATCTTTCCACCTCAGTCTCCCAAGTAGCTGGGACCACAGGTGCACACCACTAAGACTGGCTTTGTTGGTGTATTTTTGTATTTCTTTTTTTTTTTTTTTTTTTTTAGACGGAGTTTCCCTCTTGTTACCCAGGCTGGAGTGCAATGGCGCAATCTCGGTTCACGCTACCTCTGCCTCCTGGGTTCAGGCAATTCTCCTGCCTCAGCCTCCTGAGTAGCTGGGATTACAGGCACGCGCCACCATACCCAGCTAATTTTTTGTATTTTTAGTAGAGACGGGGTTTCACCATGTTGACCAGGATGGTCTCGATCTCTCAACCTCGTGATCCACCCGCCTTGGCCTCCCAAAGTGCCGGGATTACAGGCTTGAGCCACCGTGTATTTCTTTTTGATAGAGACAGGTTTTCACCATGTTGCCCAGGCTGGTCTCAAACTCCCAGGCTCAAGTGATCCATCTGCCTTGGCACCGGCAAAGTGCTGAGATTACAGGTGTAATGAATATACATTTATATTTTAAAAACAAAAAGTACTCTTGGTAAACTAAGAATGTAAATATGTTTTCATGACCTAATAAAACCTCCCTTGAAACAATGAACATCTTACTGTACAATTGGGCCGAGTAGTTTTCCCTTAAAAATCAATAATAAGAACAGGTTGCAACTACTACTTCTTATTTAATGTTGTTCTAGAAGTACTCACCAATATTACAAGAAAGGGGTGAAAACAAAAGAGCCCTCCTAAAGAAGGAAACAAAATTAACAGTATTTGCAATTAAAAATCAAAGAGGATATACGTAAAAGAGTAGTTTATTACATGGAACCGTTTAATATGATGAGCTGACAAAAAGTAAATACATAAATAATAACTTTGCTGAGTACCAGTAATGAAGGGTTATAAAACATTATAGGAAAAGATGCACTCAGAATAGCAACGGACAGTATTAAATACCCACAAATGATCTTACCCAGAAATATGCATTTTTCAGTAAAACAACTATAAAACTGTATTAAGAAAAAAGTTCTTTAGTATACATGTTCAGAAATGGGAAATGGTTACACCAACTATCATAGGAATGCACCATCTCCAAAATAATTTGCAGTCTCAAAGTGATTCTAAACAAAATCCCAGTAGAACTATTTTTGGAACTTAATAAAATTAATATTAGTTCCTCCGAAAGGATGAACACAAACAGACAAGAATACATAAGAAAATCTTGGAAAAGAAAGAGGAAACTTGCCCTACAGATGTTAATAATTGGAATAGTGCAGTCCCAGTGAAAAGCCTCAGACCATTGGAACAAAAAAAAATCATGAAACAGACAGTAGTATTTATAAGACATTTGTTTATAATAAAATAGGAAATGGGTGACTTGGAAAAGTGGGCTCTCTGAGAAAAATGTCTAACTACAACTTCATATCATACCAAAATATGTCTCAGAAAGGTAAAAGAATTCAGTGATGACGATTAACCCACCAAAACTAAAGCTAGAAAAATATAGTAAACACTTAACTGACCTCTAGAGAGAAATGATTAGAGATTTGAATACATCGAAATATTAAAAATTCAGTGTATTAGAATATAAAGCAAACAAAAATCAAAAGCAAATTTGAAAGCACATGTATCATAAATAAGAAAACTTTAACATCTCAACAACAACAAAAAAGGGAACAGACACTGCAGGCAATACGCTAAGGAAAGAACTGACTCATCAGCCTATGAGAACATGTTTTTCTTTTATAAATTCCCTGGGAAATTGTAATTCACCATTATTTACCATTTAACACTTCTAAGAGTTCTTTCAAAATTAGTATTTGTGAGAGCATTATAAAGAGGAAGATTCATGAACTAATGGTAACATGATAAATCTGGACAACAGTTGTGAAGATAGTTTATTGGTATGGATCAATAATCATAAATATTTTTCTTTTAACCAAATAATTAATTCAACGTTTAGAAATGTAAACTAAACAATTGCCACAGATACACAAATATAAGGGACCTATTTAATTTAATTTATAAACATCTCAGCATGTATTTGAATAATGAAAAGTCTATTTTTAATATTTATTAGTTTCGCTTACACTTGTGTGTTTAAAACGCATGTTGATGTGTTTTGTTTTTTTCCATTCCCATTTCAGTCTTATTTCATTTCTTTACATGTATTTTGACATCCTCGTGTCGTTTTTTGAGGTCATCTACCAATTTTTCAAGGATATGTCATCTTCAGTTCTAATTGAACATACAGCTCTTTTTTTGAATGTATGTGGGATGCTACTTTGGAAAATTTTACAGCAAGTCACAAATATTGATTCGCATGAAATTAGGAGTATTGTTATTTGCCTTTTTCCTGGGAGGTATATTTTCATCTCAATAATGAAACCACTTCCTGTATGAACTTTTATAAAGCTCTTTAAACTGCTTGTTTACAATGACATCCAATACTCAAAATTATAAGCTCAAACCTGCCAAGAATAATTTCTAAATCTGCATAAAATGTTTTAACTACTTTTGTCAGCTAAATCTAAAAATACCTAAAACTAGCATTGATTGAGGTCGTTTGAAGCTCATAGGACTTCACCAAATGTTACTGTTCACTGAGAAGAGAGAATTTTAAATTTAAAAATTGTCTTATAGTACAAAGGGTTTTGTTGAAAAAAAAGGTAATAACTTTCTCTTTTATGAGAGATAATTTTAAATTTAAAGAACAATGTTACCATATATTGGAATATATACAGTAATCAGACACGGCACAAGGATTTATATTCAAGAGTGTTCATTGAAGCATTGTTTTGAAACGGTAAAAAAGTCAAATGTCCAGCAATTAAGGGTACTAAAATTAATTGTTATACTTTCATCAAACAATATTATATAGTCATTAAAATTATCTATTAAAAATATTTAATGACTTAGGGAAATACTGACAAAATAATAAGTGAAAAACCTTATAACAAAATTACAGATCTTAATATGGAGAAAAATATGTATATATTTGTATGTATGGAAAAGAAAAACAACTGAGTAGGAAAAAAATCAAAATATTTTGGCGATTATCTTTAGACTCTGTTATTTGGGTTGATTTTTATCCTCTTTCTACCTCTTTGTCTTTTTAAAGTTTTTTCTCAGTGAAAGTATATACGTCCTATAATTTTTAAAAAGCATTTATCTTAAATGTAATTAAAATGCTCTACAAATTATAAATTACTAGTATTGGCTTAATCCAGTGAAGGCTCTATTGCTCTTACTTTCCATGTTGAATAAACTATTGTAGTCACTACCTATGAACTCCACGAATAGTTTAGAGTGTTTCTCTATGACTGATCCTGCTTCATTCAGCTACTGAGCAAACAGGCAGTGTCCTGTCCTCCATCCAGATCAATGGTCCCCATCCTTTTTGACACCAGGGACTAGTTTTGTGGGAGACAATTCTTCCACAGATGGGAGGGTAGGGGATAGTTTTAGCATGACTCAAGCACGTTACATTGATTGTGCACTTTATTTGTATTATTACATTGTAATATATAGTGAAATAATCCTACAGCTCACTGTCTTGTACAGTCAGTGGGAACCCTGGGCTGGTTTTTCTTTGACTAGATGCTGCCATCTGGGGGTAATGAGAAACCATGACAGATCATCAGACATTAGATTCTCATAAGGAGTGCATGACATAATCCCACACATGCGCAGTTCGCAATGGGGTTTGCGCTCCTATGAGAATCTAATGCTGCCGCTGATCTGAAGGGAGGTGGAGCTCAGGTGGTGGTGCTCGCTGGGTCGCAGCTCACCTCCTGCTGTCCGGCCTGCTTCCTCGCATGCCTGAACTAGGTAGATGAGTTTTGAGTAGATTTAAAAAGGAAGTAGGGGAATAGGGGAGGCTGGGCAGAAATGAGCCTGAGGCCTGGGCCCTGTAGCACTCCTGTATATTACTGACTCCATTTTGGCCTATTCTCACACACGGTGTTTTTTTCACTGGTCTGTCTGCAGTCTTTTTTTGTGGACCACAACAGTCGAGCTACCACTTTCATTGACCCCCGAATCCCTCTTCAGAACGGTCGTCTTCCCAATCATCTGACTCATCGACAGCACCTCCAGAGGCTCCGAAGTTACAGCGCTGGAGAGGTAACTCCCCCTACACCCCACTCCCCTACTGTTCACTGGTCACAGTCTCTGCCTCTTCCATGGGGACAGAACAGTTCCTTAGTGGCCAGGATCTAGGGTTGCCTGTGCTGGAAGGAACTAAGCCATATGCACCCTGCTCTGTGGAAGAATGATGACCGGGATACCCACTTAACACCCCAGATCTGTCTTCAGTCATCTCTTCTGCCTTGCCAAAGAAGTCCCACACACCACTGCTAAAAACCTGTCTAGTTGAAAGGAAACTGGAAATGCAGTGTCAGGAGATCCCGACACTTATGTCTGGAGCTGTGCCTCCTGAGGCCTGTCATGTGTGACCACATGGAACTGCTGTGTTGTGTATGACTAACTAAACTTCTACCTCTCCATAACATCCTAGAAAATACTTCAATAACGTATCCATGGACTAGAAACTAGGGGAAATTAACCAGGCCACAGGAATGCTCTATTCCCTCTCTACCATGTGCTCTTCCTTGGTTTTATATTCTCTTTCATCGGGAAGATGGTAGTCCTTCCGGGCTACCATGAAGGGCTAAGCATCACTTCATTGCTTTTCTGAACTGGTTTCCATAACCTACACTCTTCCTGTCCTTCTTTCTCAAGCCAAAACTGAAAACGTAGCTCTTTTTTTCCTCCTGATCAGTTCCTGATGATATCATGAGCAAACTTTTTGTGTCCTGACTGACATTTCCCAAGTATCTGTGCCTTGTTTTTGTAGAAACCACCAGGATCTCAAGAGATGTGGCCTCTGAGAACTATTTCCCATAAAACAGCTTTTAGAATTTGATTATAATAAGGTTAAAAATGAAAAATGTGGTGCAGGAAGGAAAGGAATATATATATATGTAGGGGTGTGTGGATGTGGATGTGTGTGTGCGTGTGTGTGTGTATTCCACAGTGAGTCATTCCAGGGAGAGCCTGGGAGTTTCTCTCCGGAGAAACTGGGAAGGTAGCATTCACCCTTCAGCCACCTCCTCCAGATAGCAAACGTAAGTCTCAAGGGAAAAGCCTATTGTTGATGTATGGGCACCAGTCATTTACCACTTTTTCAGGAGTCCTCTATATATTCAGAGACATTACTATTTCCAGCCAACAGCACTCATGGCTTAATGCAGGCGTGATAAAAAGAATTTTTTTGTGTGTGGAGTCATCTGAAATATCATTGTTTCACGCGACTGTTACACGCATGCTAAATCTTTCCTTCTTTGTATACATAAAGTGCATGTGACCAGGCAGAGAGGGAGTACTGTACATCCCTGAGCATTACATGGGTGTCAGGATTTGCTAGATGCAGACGTGTTCACAGACTGCAGAAAGCAATGCCCCTGCTCCCCAGTTCAACATACATAGTCTCTCCTTCCCTGGTGGCATTCCTATTCCTATGACACTTCACAAAGTATAAGGTGTATTGTCTTCAGATTATAGGGAATAAATTCAAAATTCTTCATGAACTTGAGTATGCCATTTAAATTTACTTAAAACATCCAAGCTCTTTAATCTCATTGAGACCATTTCAGTATCAACATAGGGTAACTAACTACATATGTGGTAATGTAGCTGAATACTACAGACAGATTCACTGTCAATAAACACTTGAGTTGCACAAGATGAATTCCCCAAAGATACACATCTCTTACAATTACAATAAATTAATCTGAAGTGTAAATATTTAAAATCTTCCCAACTGAAAAAAGACTGAAAACATGGACACTGCTTGCATTACCTCTTTGAAGACACGTGTTTGATGTGATTGAATAGCCCAAACAGCATTAATTTAATATTATTTAAATCATTGATACCATTTGCCATACCATGTATGGCAAAGTGCCATCTGCATCAGTTAAGAACTAGCTGGAAGACTCTAACACATATGATGAAAGGGTGTTGCTGTGCACCAGCCATCTGTCTGCTTCCTAATGTGTCTACCCTGACTGTTCATCACATTTCCAAACCCCACCCATCCCTCTGCCCATCCTCTCTCTTCTCGTAACTTTGGACTGACACAAGGGGATACCAAGAAAAACAATAGAGAGAAGCTGAGAGGCAGAGGGTATCTGATCCACAGGCAGCGCACCAGAGAAAACAAAGACTCAGCCTCTAAGAAAATAAATATATGGTTCCTCCCACTGCAAGGGCCCTCAGCCTAGGGACAGGAGATAGAGGGATTCTGGTATCAAAATAGAGGGGAGTGGGTGGGGGGAAATGTTGGCTGCGTTTGCTGTGATGTGATTTTGCTCACCAAACATTGATTCATAGCAAGCATGGCTTGCTATGAACACCATGGAATGCAAAGTATGAGACGATCCCTGCCAATCCCTACTTGAATGCAAATTGGAGAAGTTCGTATTCCATTTTTGAAGCCAAGCCAAAAATACATACACAGTTAAGTGACAAGAGAAATCAGAATATGGTTGAGTGGCAAGAGAGATGTTAGGATAAGTGCCACAGAAGTTCAAAAGAAACCAAGGAAAAATGTCTTTTAAAATAAGGTACCTGGCCTGGCACAGTGACTCATGCCTGTAATGTAAACACTTTGGGAAGCTGAGATGGGAGAATCGCTTGAGCCTAGGAGTTTGCGACCAGCTTTGGCATCATGGTGAGCCCCTTTCTCTACAAAAAATTTGAAATTAGTCGGGCGTGGTGGTGTGTACCTGTTGTCCCAGCTACTCAGGAGGCGGAAGGGGGAGGATGGCTTGAGCCTGAAAGGTAGGGGTGAAGTGAAATGTGTTCACACCACTGCACTCCGGCATAGCCAGCTGTGCAAGACTCTATCTCAACAAAACAAATAATAAAATCAGGTACCTGATTAGAACTTGAAAACTGGTAGAATCTAGCTAGGTACAACGGATAGGGAAGGGCAGCCTTACAGAGCACTAAGCAAAAGTGCAGAGGTCAGATTAAGAAAGGCTCACAGAGAGACCGTGACTAGTTCAGTCTGAGCCAAGCAGCAGGTTCCCACTTGCTGTTTCTTGGTTTTCAGAAAACTTTGGTGCTGCATGAAGGAGTTGGAACTTTTTAATGGACCACTGAATGAATCTGAAGAAAGTAATGGTGTCACCCATTGTTTCAGGGCGAAATCGTCTCCAAAACACATTGTGAGAGATGGGGAAAGACTCTTGGCATTTGGGAAGGACAATTCTCTGATGGGTGGAATTATCCCATTTTATTGCAAGCCCTTTTTTTCCTGACCCCATTCATTAAATGTCAGGATTGCCCCCATTTCCCTAGTAATTATGTCAAAACAAAAGAGAACAGCCCCCAGCATTTCCACCACCCCTAGATGGTAGTATTAGCCCTGTAAAGAACCATTATTTTACAGTCCAGTAAACTGAAATATCAAGATCTTGCTCACTTCACACAGGGAGTTCAGGACCACAGCTCTAGTTTCCTAACAGCATCTGTGCAAACTGTTTTTTGTTTGTTTTTTTTGAGACAGACTCTCACTCTGTCACCCAGGTTGGAGTGCAGTGGCGAGATCTCGGCTCACTGTAACCTCCACCTCCTGGGTTCAAGCAAGTCTCCTGCCTCAGCCTCCAGAGTAGCTGGGACTACAGGCGTGTACCCCCACACCCACTAACTTTAGTATTTTCAGTTGAGACGGGGTTTCATCATGTTGTCCAGGCTGGTCTCGAACTCTTGAGTGATCCGCCTGCCTCAACTTCCCAAAGTGTTGGGATTACAGACGTGAGCCACCACACCTGGTCACAAACTTGTATTTTTAATAGAAGACCATGAAGGCCAAGAAGAGGGATTTGAGAGAGGCCTGTCGGAGACCACTGCCACAGTCAGATGGAAAGGGATGAGGCCGAGTTAAGGTGACAAAGAGAGAAAACAAAGGGCAGCTTATGGGGAGAAGCCTCAGGGAGGTCAAGGAGTGTGTTAGAAAAAGTCACTGGGACTTGTGTGCAGATGGGCGTTCCAGCTCCAGCGTGTCCACAGAGAGCAGGGTATCAATCATTGCTCATTCCTCCCCTGTCAGGGACTTCATCTGCAAATGAGTGGTGATCACTAAGGTGGGTTCCAGCTCTGTGATTCTCAGAATCTGTGGGGCTTGATGCCAAGTCTCCAACACTGCATAACTAAGAGAGCCATGAACAGCACAGAGCTAAGAGGAGCAGGAAAGGCAGGTGGGGAGGATGGCATTTGTCTTTAGGCAAGTTAATAATGTGTGTGAAAACAGCACGATCTCTGATTAGATATGACAGTTAAACAGATGGAAATGTGAGACTCAGGAATCATCAATGGATTATTTCCATAATCCATTATTTTTCCGTGTCCTGTATCACAGGCAATGAGAAATTAAGCCATAGATATTTCTTAGACTACAGCTTACAAGTGTGGGTATTTTCTGTTCACCTACATAAGCCTTGAGTGTTCTTCAGTATAAAAGATTTAAAAAATAGTACTTATACAGTGAATGGAGCAGTTTTTTATAAATTGCCTGTAAGGACAGAATTAAAATGAGTTTCTATATTAAGAATCCTAAATGGTAACTTTTTTTCTCAAAATCCCAACGGTAGATTATTAATAGAAACATTGTTAAACATCTTTTGGATTGTCCTTCCTCGCCTGGAAAATTTTCAGACAGATTCCTAAAAGCAGTTATTACGAATATAGGATTTATACATAAAAAGATCATTATGTGACACCTTGACTTGCATTTTAATGCAGAGGCACATCTGTCTGCAATGTGTTCAAGCAACAGCCAAGTAGGCCTTATCTCCCCTCAGAATGTGCAACCGCAATAGGTCACAGAGAAGTGGAGTGCTGTGAATCCTGGAATCTTAGCGAGACTGATGTGCATCCCATCCTGCAAGGACACTGCTAAAGGCTAGCACACTTGCCTTGTTTACACCACAGTTCCCAATACATGTCGACATCAATAAGAAGGATAAGCAGAGCACATAATTTTCATTTCTTTTGCCGTCTTGGTCAGGTTAAAAAATCCTTAGGTATAGAGAATTTCTGGAAAGTGTGTACCCAGA